ACATTTCACCTCGAGGCCAGGTGGCCAGGTGCTGGTTGAAAGTAGTGGCCGCAGGGACCCACTTTTTGGAAAACAGTTTGAAAGTTCAAAGGACTAGGGGTAGTAGGTGGTTTCGGGATGAGTCAAGTGCATTACACTTATTGTGTACTCTTCTGTCATTACACTGTAATATATAATGAGATAATTACACAGCTCACCACAGTGAAGAGTCAGTGGGAGCCCCAGGCTGGCTTTCCTGCAGCTAGACTGTCTCATCTGGGGTGCTGGGCTACAGCGACACCCCAAGTATGTTGCTTACGTCCAGTCCAGTCCTAACCTCATTTTGGCTGCCGTCACTGCAGAAAACGCTGCTTCACAAAGACAATGTTGGAAATGGGAGTAGGCTTTTCAATGCTTTTGTGGAAATCTCAGGATGTTCTGTCCTGACATCAAGCCAGAACATGGGGAAGAGATGTGAGGTCGTCTCAGACATGCTTTCAAGGCCTCTGGCATTTGTGATCGCATGCAGTCAATCATCTAGCATGGACAAAGTCCATCATGTGGCCTACTCACAAACAGATTATAGGTCCATTCCTCCCAGTGGTTGGGAAGCAATGTGCAAAGTCTTTTGGAAGGTTAGATAGGTGGTCATGCACTGGTGGAGAGAAGGCGCTGGCTCAGTCTCCTTGGAAATCTTTGCTAATGTTTGAAGCATGTCAAAAATCCCACTGTTCACTCATTGCCCCCATAATTTCAGTTTGGCTTTTTAAGACTAGGAAAATTTTATTTATTTATTTTGGGTACTGGGGATGAAACTTGGGTCCTTGTGCTTACCAGGCAGGCAGTGGAACCACTGAGCTAAATCCCTGGTCCTGGAAAAATTTATTGAGAGAAAAGACAGCTTCTTTCTAAGAGAGACAGAAGGGGAACCGGAAAATAGGTTGCCCGTTTGGTTTTGAGTGCAGCCACTTTATCTGCCAACTTGAGAATAGCTGTCATTCTCCCCCGAGGTGACTGAGTTCACTGAGCAGATTGAATACGTCACATAGGTAAGTCTGTCTGTTTGTTTTTGAGATCTTGCTTTGTAGTTCCGGCTGGCCTCAAGCTCACTATGTAGCCCAGGCTGGCTTCAAACTCAAGATGATCCTCCTGCCCGGCCAGTCCCTATAGAAAGCCGTCTCCCTTCTGTGTATGAGAAGGCTCCTGAGCTCCACCTGCATCCTGTTTGCAGTGAAACCACCATTAAGTAGGACCGCTGGCATTTTCTTTTAAATGTAGCTTTCTTTTTGTTGCATCTTTAGCATCTTCTGTTGTCTCTCATTGGGTCTTCCCCCTTTTCCAAGCAGCTGTGCAGTAAGGTTTGTGTTTTACTCATTTTGGCTAGTTAGCTTGTGGACTTCCCAAACTGTGGTGGGGAGCAGAGTGCTATTCAGGAGAAGCAGATAGAAGTGGTCAATAAAATAATGGTTAGGTCACATGCAGATTGCCAGAAATGTTGGACTCTTCTAAGAGCTGTCACCACATGAAGCCTGACTTTCACTTGCCACTCACCGATTTTTAAATTTTTATTCTTTTGGTCTGGGATATCAAATTCCAGACCTTGTGCTTGCCCGGCAGGCAGTGGAACCCGAGCTAAATCCCCGACCCACTGACGGGGCCGTGACCTAAGTCTGAGCAGTCCACGTGTCCTGGGCACTGTGCAGCTGACCACTGCGCCGATGCCCATCTGTGTCTGCAGCTGCTCTTCAATGCCGGCCTCACTGCCTCGGCCCCACCTCAGATCCTTGGCATCAGATCCTCGGCATCAGATCCTCGTGTGGTGCCTGCTACCCGGCTCCCTCACATGCAGGGTTCAGTGACCTACAGGAGGCAGAGCTCAGGCTGTGATGAGGACAGCTGGAGACCAAGGAAGCCTCCGCATCACCCACCACTCACCTGTGCAGCTCTGCTCCTCACAGGCCAGACCCGGGGGTGGGACCCTGGTCCAGTGCACCTGTCAACCGCACAGTGTCTTGTTCCAGGTTGTGCAGGCTTTTTTTTTAACCAGTACAAAAACTTGCTCTTTTTCCACACTGAAAGCAGTGCCGAGATGGGGTGATGCACAGATTGTTAGCAAACAGGACACGCCATGCCCCCTCAGAAACCAGGGGGCCCTATGCTGGGCTCATAGCTCGGACTTTGACATGCAGCACTGTCACCAAGGGGGCGGGGTGCCGGGGACAGGACAAGTGACACTCAGGGCCTTCCCGCCTGTGGGTCCTGTAACCAAGCATTCTGACAAAATTCTTATTCATCCGGGCTCTGCAGAGGGACTGCTGTGTGGAGCAGCTCCGCTGTCTTCTGCTGACCTCACCCACCCTCGCCTTGCGCCTTAACCTCATCTTGACCACTTGCTCTGAAGTAAGTTTCTCCTATGAGAGTCCAATCCCTGATGCTGTGACAGGAAGCAGAGCTCAGGTGGTGATGGGATCGAGCAGAGCCTCTGCAAACAGAGGGAGCTTCCCGGCTCCTAACCGGGACCCTGGTTTCAGAACTTTTATTAGAAGACAGCCCAGGGATGGGGATTTAGCTCAGCGGTTCCACTGCATGCCGTGCAAGTGCAAGGTCCCGAGTTCAATCCCCAATACAAAAAGAAAAAAAAAGCACATATAGACATCTTTCCCACTGGGCACTGTGGCGTACATCTCTGGGTCAGGGTCAGGGTTACAAGTTTGAGGCCAGCCTTGGCAATGTAGTGAGATCCTGTCTCAAAATAAAAAATAAAAAGGGCTAAGGTGCCGGAAGCTGGAGTCTTGCTTGGCAGTTTCTCTCTATCAGGCCCTAGTGCCGTTAATATATGTGATTTTTTTTTTTCTGGTACAGAGGATTGAACTCAGGCCCTTGTGCTCACAAGGCAGGTGTGGCACCTCTAAGCCAAATCCCTGGCCTTGTATTCTTTCTCTTTTTTCTTTGGGACAAGGTCTTGCTATGTAGCCCAGGCTGGGCTCAAACTCAGGGCAATCCTGCCTCATCCTCCTGAATGGTGGGCTGATAGGCATGTGATACCACGCCTGAGTGTTTACACTTAAAAGTAGAAGCCAGTTTTGCCTCTGCAGTACCAGAAACACCGCAACCTTTGCTGCATACTGGGGTCACCTGGGAGCTCTGAAAAATCCCAGAAACCACACCCACCTCAGGTCAACTCAAACGCTAGATGTGGTTTCAGACGTGTGCGTGGGCTTTTTGTGGTGGTAATGGAGATTGAGCTGAGGGACTTTGCACTCAGCTACATCCCTAGCCCTTTTTAAACACGTTAAGACTGTGAGACAAGGTCTTGCTAAGTTGCCAAGGCTAGGCGCAGACTTGCAATCCTCCTGCCTCAGCCTCCTGTGTGCCAGGACGTCGCCATGGTTCTCGATGCTCCCTGGAGAAGCCAGCGTGCAGCACAGCCTGAAATCTGCAGCTGTAGGCTCCAGATGGTGACCAGGTCTGTCTGTTGTTCCTCCCAGGCCCTGGGTTCCGCCATATGAGTTTTTGTTTTGTTTTTCATTATTATTTTTCTCATTGAGTTTACTGGTACTTTTTAGGTATACAGGATCCCATTCATCATTGGGATCTTGAACCTTTACATGACAGGTCTTGGTTCTCATTTTTCCCCCGTATTGTTTTGTTGTTTTTGAGACAGGGTCTCACTGTGTAGCTCAGGTTGGACTTGAGCTCACTAAATAGTCCAGGATGGCCTTGAACTCACAGCAATCTTCCTGCCTCAGCCTCCCAAGTGCTGGGATCACAGATGTGAATCACCATACCAGGAAAACCAACAACTTCTGTGACTACGTGAATAAGTCCCAGAGCTGAGATGCCACCAGGACTTTCCGGACCATAAAACCCAGCCAGGCAGTAATCTGCACACCAGGGAAGGAGAAATCCAATCTTAAACCACAAGGCTCTGCAGTGGTTACGCAGAAGTAAATGGAATATTTATCTCAGTGCCACACAACCTCTCTAAAGCCATGGTCTAGACCACAGCCACTGGCTTCTACATGGAAAAGGCCTCACACTGCCATGCTGAGCCTGGTACCCGTCGTCCAGCACTCTGGAAAGCTCAGGCAGGAGGTTCTGTTGTAGAAGGAACTGGTAAGTGACACAGAGAGATGCAGAAGTGGGTAAAATAAAGTTTACTTTACTAGCAACGGGTCAGCCTGCATCAAAGTCTGTGCCAAGGGACCGACCCTGGGCTGGGTGACAGTCTTTTATAGGAGCTTTATAATCACGATCTTGTTTTAGGTGATAAGACTTTCTAGTTCCCATCACAAATTACGGTTACAAGACAGTACAATGTTAACCCAAATATAGCAATTTCTCTCACGATGTTTATCTTTCGCTGTTTCAGACCATAAGGATGGGGGCCAGAGCTAGGAGGGCAGGACTGGTGACAATCCTTTCATCTTATCACCTCTGTAGCCATATGGTTTACAGAAAGTTCTATAGCTCAGGGACTGTTATCTTAGCGTGAACATTTAGTCTCATCCTGGGATGCAACTTAGCACCTCAGACATCTGTTAAGTTTACAATGGGGCTACAGGCCCTTAAGCTGCAGGTGTTTTTGTTAAACAAGCAAAGCAAAGCAAATTACAGAAGCAACAGGCAGTGGTTGTACCATATTTTCTTTAACATTTTGTAGGTTTCAGACTATTTATAGAAGTTCTATCAGTTCAAGGCCATCCTGGGTATCTAAGCAATTTAGCTAGGCTCTGTCTCAAAATACAAAACGCTGGGGACATAGCTTAGTTCAGAGGCCCTGGGTTCCATCCCCAGTAAACAAACCTTGCGAAACCACCTTTCTAGAAGGGTCTGGAAGAATCCCAGACAGTGAACCAACGTACACAGGAGTACAGGTGGAGCATCCCAAAGTCAACATCTGAGGCGCTCCAAAATCCCATACCTGTCCGAGCTCCGACGTGATACAAGAAAAGAATCCTACACTATGCAACTGTTTCACACACAAAATTATTAAAATAGCAATAAAACTACGCCGTGTGTATGTTCCAATTCACCACGCTAGGTGTATTTATTATGCATGGCAGAATGCACTAATACCGCCCCATGGAACGACTCTGCGCTGTGTGGTCAGGACATGCGACATGGGATGACCTGTCCGAACCTGGGTTCCTGCCACCAGATGCCTCACTATGCAAATATCCCCAACCCCAAAGACCTGAAATCCAGGCCACTTCCGGTTCCGTCCCATGGATTCCAGACAACAGCTGTTCAACTTGGACTTGGCTGCTCTTCGGTGCAGACCATGGCATAACCACTGTGCCATCTAATTTTTCCTGAGTAATAATTTTGCACCACACATGCTGCTTGTGTGTGAGTCCCAAAGGCAGCGCTTCCGGGATGGGCCTGGGGCTGGAACCATCATGTCCACACCGAGACTCGCGTTCCCACGGGGCTCTGGCTCATCCTGTACCTTATGTGTGGCAGCCCAGCCCCAGCATTCGCTTCCTTTGTCCTCTTCTCGCCTTCTGTGCCAAGCACAGCACAGGTGGTGCAGCCTGCAGAGGCGCTGACTCCGGACGCGTCCCCTGGAGCCCAAGGTCTTGCACTGTGTCCGCTCCCGTCACCAAGAGCCAGCCCGGGCGGGCAGCGCCGCACAGCAGGCACAAGTGCTGGGGACTCTGTGCTGGCCCAAGTGTGGGAGACGAGGCCAACGTGTGCCCTGGTCTTGTGGTCACGCTGGCCAGCTGGCAGAGGCCACAGCCAGAACACAGCGTGGGTCCCATGGGGCTGGTGGCACTGGCTCCTTGCCCCAGGAGTCTGTTACCCAGGCAACGACAGCCGGTGGCCTCGACGTGAGATGTTATCAAGGATGGCACTTTTTCCATAGCAATCACCCCAAAATGACCCCAACCTCTGGAGAACCCCCAACCTTGCCGTCCAACGTAACTGGGGTTCTCCCTCTGCGCTACTGAGAAAATCAACATGGAGTACAGGGACGTCACAGTGTGATTTTAATCAGGTTCCAGGACTGACGGGACAGTTTCTGGAAGCGCTGGCCCAGTGGCAGCAGACGCAGGGCGGCGTGGCGGAGTTTCCAGAAACCCTGCCAGGCCTACTTGGTCCAGCTGACCTTGGGGATGTCGTAGTGCTCGGTGAGGGCGTCCAGGTGTCTGTTGAAGTCCTGGGGAGCAGAAAGGCCACGTGGCCTGAGCCGACAGGACATGGGGACAGCAGCACCGAGGCGCCCGTCTCCCAGCTCGTCTCTCTTGGCTGCGGCCGGGAAGTGCGGGCCTGTGAGCAGGCCCTGTCCCCCACCTCCCAGGGCTCCTCCACCACTCACCTCCACGCGCTGCTTGTGGGTTTTGGATGCTTTCTTCAGGATCCGCTCCATTTGCTGAGGAGGGAGGAGACAGGTAGCGAGTTGTAGGCGCAGGTGGGGACAGGGCCCAGGCTGGGGACACAGGCTGCACCCCCGTGGGCCACCCCAATGGCTCAGTTGCCCTTTGGGAAGGCACTGACACAGAGGACGGAAAACACCACCAAAATACCCCTGGGGCGGCTCCAGGGCAGTAGGGTAACTGATTCCAACTGCTCGCCACACACTGCCCAGGAAGAGTGGGGTGAGGGTTCCCAGCACAGGGAACACAGGCAGCACAGGGACCACCCTGACCTGGCCATTACACGCTGGGCACACATATCGGTTTATAACAATAAACCTGCAAGTCCAGATATGCAACTTAAAGAACTGAGAACACCTGGAAGGCCGGGGACTTGGCTGAGTGGTTCGGCCGCCCACTTCAAAAGCGAGAGAGCGAGAG